TTAAGATAAGTGAACATTGCCATTAATAGTATATCAAAATATTCACAATAAATATAGAATACAAAGACACAAATATACAATCATTGAAGATGAACGGAAAATCCCAATCTGAGTGTGATTGGTTCAGTCAGGAATGAGCCTTGGCAATATAAGAAAAACACATGCATGGATGTTAAGCAGACAAAATGTCAGTTACAGTGTTTATAAAGAATTGTGTGCATCTAAAAACATGCTTGATAAATATATGACGCGTTATAATAGTGCATACTGTCAAGTTTAATACAATGTAGTTTCAAAAATATTTTGTAAATCTTGCATTTGTTATACCACATTTTTTGTTTGGTACATGTGATTTTTGATTATAATAAATTGCTAAAATTATAATAATGCTTATTTGTTTACACTATTAAAGAGCTTTAAAATGAAAAAAAATCATATTCCAAAAAGTTTTGAATGGGGTTAAATCATGGTCAGAAAAGGTTTGGAAACTGTCTGACCATGGTCAGATAAGGTTAGATGTTGGCCAGATAATGGTAAAAAAAGGTTGGATAATGGTCAAGAAAGGTTGGATAAGTATTAGAAAGAGCATCGAAACACGAGGTTATCTGATTTGTACGAGGGGACGTAGCCCCCGAGTATTAATCAGATTGCCGAGTGTTTTAATGTTCTTTCTCTTTTGTAACATTTTTTTAGTCAAACATAAAAACACGTTTCCTGTTGTCACAATATGAAACCCCAGAAATAAGTACTAGTAACCAATAAACGAGCATCTGAATACGATAATTCTTTCGCTATCCCTTTCTCTGCCGTCACAATAAGTAAACCCCAGCAAAAATGAGCCATTCAATTGGCATGCTCTGGAGTGCGGGTAACTAATACCTGCACTCCAGTTAACGTATACGATTTAATTCAGACACATTTTCAACCAAACTATGATACAAATGTCATTTTATTAAAACCTGGATTCTGAAATATTTTTGTTTTGGGTCAGAATCTCGCTTCTAAATCGGAGATATTGCCCATGCACAAAATAACACAGTATCTCGGGGCCCGCAGTACTACGGTTTATCACTTGAACTACACTTATCACATAGTAAGGCATGCGAGGACTTTCAATTAAACACTTTAAGTACCTGTGACAGAAATTGCCTTTCAAATAATTTTTTTTGTGCCAGTGCTCTACTAATATGACCTTACAAAAAATGATGAAAAAAAAGAGTCCATTTCTATGAAATTTAAATTGCTGCACTAACGTTGATTCTGCGGTAGGGAGGGAGGATAATCCCGCGGTGTTTATCGGTAAGTCGAGCTAACACACAACTACTTTATTAACAGTTAATAATGAACAACAAGAACAGCATGTTATATTATGAATTTAATAACAATCACTAGAAGTACAATTTACTCCCGACAATACATGTATGTTGAGATACTAACAAACATTTTAAAAAAGCCGATATGTTCCCCTTGTGAATTCTGTAAATTAGGTAAAAGGATATAAAATAGATGGAAAAAAACAAAAAGGGCATCGGTCCCAATGCGCTCACCTGAGTACAGAATGCAATTGATATACAAACGTTAAGTTACCAGGCCTTAAAAATATACAAAACAGGGTCAATTTTTTGTGTAGGTCCAATTTTGACCCTAGGGCTATAATTTGAACAACTTTGGTAGAGGACCTATAGATGATATTATATACCAAAATATCTAAGCTCTAAGCCTTGAACCTTCAAACAAGAAGTTTTTACTATATGCATATAAAGAAAACCTGACCCCCGGGACGGGGCCAATTTTAACCCCAGGGTTATAATTTGAACAACTTTGGTAGAGGACCCATAGGTGATATCATATACCAAATATCAAAGCTCTAAGCCTTGTACCTTCAGACAAGATTTTTAAGTTTGCATTTTTAAACTCCTTTTCTGGCCCCGTGACCTACGTATGCAACAGACCGGAACCATTTGAACAACTTTGGCAGGGGACCACTCAATGATCATTCCTGTAAAGGTTTGGTTACTGTGCAGTCATTGGTTTCTGAGATGTTGTTTAAAAAAACTGTTGACGACGCACGACGACGGAAGGTGGATGATCACAATAAAAATACGAAAAAAAAAAATTGCACAACGACGAGTGGTATTTTGTCACATTACTTAATTTGATACACTGTTGTCTGCTGAAAATGCCGTCTGCTTAACTTTACCCCCAATTTTTTTGAAATAAAAACGAATACAGTATGTGTGTCAAACAGCTTGGTTACTGACATAACGTAGAGTTAATCATCGTCTGATGCTGTATCAAACTGCAGATTCTCTAAGTAGGTAAACATCTTGTGACATTTGAACTTAACAATATCGATATCTTTATCTTCGATGTTACGTTGACAAAGCTTTAATATGAGAAAAAAGGGAGATGTATTTTCAGAATGAGTGACCTTGGTTCAATCGCTTTTTTACGTCGCACCAACACAGTAAAGGTCATATGGCGACTTTTCAGCTTTACTGGTAGAGGAAGATTATAGGCGTTGCAAAACCTAGCTGGATAGCTTCCTCATTTGAAAGAATACAAATTCCCTGTCGGGATTCGAACCTACAGCGGTGAAGGTAAGTGGTTTGAAGTCAGTGACCTTAACCACTTGGTCACGAACGCCCACTTCCAATTGATCTAACACCGCCCAAGCTGACCTCTAATACTATAACATAGTTATTTTTGATTAGATACAACGCAGTTGGCGGACTAAAATATTTAAACATACACATGTATAATTGTTCTTTGACCAACTTCACCATTTTATACATATTAAGACATATACTAATGAAGAAAATGGAAAGAATGACCAAACTTCTTTGCAGTCCTGTTTCTTTTGACAAACCGTAACTGCTCGATCAATCTTTGAAGGTCAATCATACTAATACCCTGTGCAATTATATGAAAACCAACAGCCACGAGGTTTATTAAAATGATCTATTGACCACTGCAGCTTGCAAGCATGTTTTTGATGATCCGACATTGTGTTTGAACATACTTGAGAATTATCATCCATTGGGCATTCCCAGAGAATGGTTTAAAAAAAACCGAACAGTTCAATTTTGTTGAAAATAGACGGTGATGGTTTTAGTTTTTCCACTTAGTTGCCATAGAAATCAGAATTAAGAATTGAATACAATTCCCTGAACAACTCTGAAAGAGGGACTCCAAAAAGTTTTGACAACAGTAATCCAATGGTTTAGGAGACATAAGCATGCTATGCATCTGGTAGATGAGCCAAAATATGGGAAACATTAGCTAGTATAAAAGCTCTTCTATAGGACCCTGCATTCTGATGAGTTTAAAAAACTTGTAGCAGTTAAAACAGATTTTGATTTTTTTCTTTGTTTTACAGGCACCAACACAATTTAGGTCATATGCCGCTGAAACAGGAATGATTTTGGTTAACTTCGGATGTTACAAACTTGAAGCAACACCATGAGTCAGAACAACCTCACCTGCTGGAGTTAAGAGATACATGGATTAGATTACAGTAATTACAGAACCTATTTAGTTGCCTCTTATGATCACGTAGGGATAAACGGTGGTTGCAATTCTGTTGCTGCAACCCTTCAGTCACAAGGGGAGGTCAGATTTTAATAAAGATATGTCTAAATAGAGAACCATATTCATATTAGCTTTCATACAGTAAATGTCATTAAAATATCATTTATACATACATCATTATATAAACATGTACACTGCCCTCCAAAAATTCCTTCACACACCCTTTTTTCACTGTTTTTCCTAAGTATTTTTATTTGGAAATCAGTACAGATGCTTCAGTGGTTAAAATTATAATAATTTACATATTATCTCCCTTTTTAAGAATAATTTAACTTCTATAGTTAGTAAAACAGTAAAATGGGTCAGAATATTAAGTATTTTCTTAGGGTGGTCAAAATCATTGCAAAGAGTATGTCTTCTATAAAACATTCATCAAGTTTGACACTTTTTCATAATCTTAATGAAATAACATTTTATTATTTGGATATAAGAGAACGTTAAATCAAGTCTTCAACATTGTCATCATGGTAGCTTTAACTCAGGAACAACGGGTTACCATCAATGTTTTACGGGATCAAGCCGTCAATATCAAAGACATTGCAGACCAAATTCGGTGCTCGAGGTAAGTTATTTTTTTCTCTCACTCCATTTTATTGTCTCTCTTCAAAGTATTTTTTTGCTGTGAAATGTTCGGAATGAGATTTGTTTGAATGTTTGTCTTGGTCTTACTTAGATTTCTTTTATTTTCTTGCAGGCATTCTGTGTATGCTGCTCTGACAAGGTGCAACAACCAAGGTAGCCATGTTGATCTTCCCAGATCTGGTAGACCCTGATTGTCCAACGCTAATGAAGACCGCCGTCTTATTCGAGAGTCACTGCAGAACAGGAGGCTGACGGTTCCGGATCTTACAGTATCATGGAACCATGCTGGTGTAGCTTCCTCTACTTCAACTGTCCGTAGGCGACTGAAGGATGTTGGTTTGACTGGACATGTTGCCCAGAAAAAGCCTATGCTGACCCAGAGGCACAGAAATCTGAGATTAACAATCGCCAGAGAGCATTCGACGTGGACACGGGTTGATTGGTCGGCAGTTTTGTGGACTGATGAGTCAAGGTTCACAATGTTTCAGAGTGATTGACCAACCTTCGTCAGGAGGCGGCATGGTGTGCAGCTTCGAGATGATTGTGTGGTGCCAACTTTTAAATTTGGTGGAGGGGAGATCATGATGTGGGCGCCATGTCGTATCGCGGGACTGCATTCCTCACGAGAGTTACTGGTAACTTAAATGCCGTTGGATACATTGATATTCTTGGCAATAGTGCTGTGCCATCGGCCCACTACTTGGGCTATGGAGGTAAAACTTTGTTTTAAATAAGTAAAGCCAAAAATCTTAAAAAATGTTGTCTGTGAAGGGACTTTTGGAGGGCAGTGTATATGATTAAAACATCTTGTGTTTCATTACAACAATAACTGTACCATACCAAATCTAACATTATATATTTACTTCATCACACTACATCTATAAAGATATCGCATTTATTTTTTCAAAAATTCTAAAGTTATAAAATATTCTAATATATTCTTAAGAACAATGATAATAGAGTAACTTAATTACTTTAATAAAATTGTCAATCTTTGATAATGAAAAAACAACATTATTTGTTTCAAATAACTTTCTAGTTTCATAGCATTTCAAAATTTTCATCCCCTTTGTAATTTGCCATACCTTTTTGATCATCATGTCGTTTTTTAATGTTTTTAATGAGCTTTATGGACTCTTTTGGGCCTTGACTTTTTTCGGAAAACTTGAAATGGTATCTTTTCAGCTTTACTGGTGGAGGAACGCTTCTGGTACCACTTAGTATGAACAGGCACCTGGGTAGAACCACCAACCTTTCATAAGATAGCTTGATATAGTTTACCCTTATTATAAACTAAATGACATTAGCTTATTTCTATAGACACCACCCCTACAAATTGTAATGTTTTTTTCAAATCCTACATATGTGTGATATTCAGTTGAACATTATCTTCAATGTAAAAAGATTTCTATATAGCCTAAGTTTAATATACAATTTACAGAATGCCCACAGTTAATACAACACTTGTACAAAATTTTTTGTAGTGTATGTCCTGAAAGCATATCTTCCTACCTTCAGTTCTCCTTACTTCATTCATAACAGAAATACTATTAATTAAAAAAGGACAACATTTAACATTTTTCACAGAACTGGCTGATGGAAGGCTATCTTTCCATCTAAACACCCTGACACAATTAAATTATGTACCGGTGAAAATTTGGTAGCCACTACACAGTTCACATGAGCCAGAGAACAGGTCACTTCATATAACTTCACAGGACTTGATGGAATACAGTCACATAACTCATTGCAAAGGGAATCGAAGGCAAAAATCCTTAACCCAAAACCAAAAGGGGAGCTTATCAGCCTCCCATCATGACTGAATCCAACCTCTTTGATAAAGCCCCGCCCAACATTGCATTCTTCTGTATACCCCAACAGTTTTTTCCTGTTCCAATGAATGTTTTTTTGTAATTGATTATTCTCAACCTCAGAATAACTGTCAAGGTAACTAAGATTAAGAATTCGTCTCCTGCGATTCCCTGTATTGGATTCAAGAACAAACATGAACGAGTTATTTCTAGAATGAGAATCAAGTGAATTGGCAATTTGTGGACTAGAATTTTGCGCGTTTGTGTTCACAGAACTGGAATAGCCAGATGAACTTGTATTCGAGCTACGAGAATTGCTGCTATTTGCTCTTATGCTTCTAGAGCTGCCAGCGCGTCTAATTCGCGGAAGACCTGAGTTTCTGAATAAACGATCCGATTCAACATTAGCTGTGGCTCCACCACTATCTTGAATAGTAAGGTTTATTTCTCCACCAGTTTCTTCATTGGTATATGCAATGTCAAAGCTGGATCCAACTGCTCCAGCCTCATCATCAGAGTCATTACTGAACTCGTATCTATCTTCCTCTATTAGATCATGGTCACTTTCGTTTTCTAAGTCTGAATAATCATCTATAGTGTGATCAATGAGCGAGCCTGGTAAATTATGATCATAATCGCTGTCACTATCGCTTTCTGGTCCAACAGAATGATCATTATTTGTTACTGATTGCACTGACAAGACCTCTTTCCTACAGTTGCGGACTCTCCAATGACATTTGTACTAGTGTCTTCGTCTTGCGTTTGGTCAGTTGCTGTTTCTGTTCTAGTTCTTTCATTAGGTGAAACATCTCTCCCTGAAGTTGCTCCAGATGCAGAGTTTCCTTGCTGTTCAGATCTATTATCACCTATTGATCGAGTTGTGTTACCCGAACTGAGATTCACATGCGGAAGATCTGCATTATTGTTAGGAATAATTCTTTCAATCCTAACTCCTGATTCTTCATCATCTGATGCCAAATCATCCTGGTTAAATTCAATGGTCCTACCACTAGAGGTATGTACAGAAATAGAAAAAGAAAAGCTCCCGTCTTCTTGCCTGGCCCCACGACGTATTTGTATCAATGAATTATGTATTGGCCCTGAAACCTGAGGAGATGTGGCAGCACGTCTTTCTGGGGGACTTGCATTAGTTTCATTCTGAGAGCCTCTTGTGATTTCAACAGGGGCTGGTGTAAATATTCCATCATTTGAATCTGGTGAAATTGAATCTCTACTGGCAGGTCGGTCAATGGAACTGTTTGTATCTGCTGATCCTCGACTTCCTTGGTTACCTGGTAGTTGACGTGCCTGAGAACTCCTTAACGCTTGGTTACTTGAGTTTCCAGCTAGTTCACGAGTGGATGAATTTCCACTAATGTTATTTGATGACGACTGATTCATGGCATTTTCTGATGGATTTTCACTGGATGAAGAATTTCGTGTCCGTGATTGATTTGATGGGGCTAACGATGAGTAGGCAGGAGTGTTTGTAGAAGTACAATAAGCTGACGATGTATGAGGAGTAACACGTTCCATCTCCCACGGACGTTTTGCCGCTTTTTTCTCAGGATAGTCATCTAGTAGTTCATGCACACATGTCCACTGAAACAGCAGAAATGACATTTGTATTGGAACATCAATATTACAATTAACATGAGCATCCCATTGGAAATGTCAGTTTAAAATTAGAAAAGGCTTAAATCAAATTCCCTAATTTGGTATCAGTTACAATTTATTGGAAGAAAAACTGAACTGAGGTAAAACCAGGTGTCAGACTGGTCTTAAAAACTACAAGGCATACAGATTTTAAGTTTTAACATGATAAACACACAAAATAAAAAGTTCAGAATCTGATAAAATCGATGTTAAGTTAATGTATGTAGATTGTAATTATCTTCCTAGTATGAGTCTGGAACAACGCTAAAATAAATTAAAAATTTTGCCCACTTATTGGTTCATAATCTTGCAAACAATAAAAAAATCAAGATTTCAAGTGTATAAATATGGAATATGATGTTGTTGTAGCTTTTTGATGCTTTGCTTTTTGCTTCCAGCATCGTTTGAAAAATTGATATCTTGTGAGAGCAAAGGTCGTGCAAGATATCAATTTTCACATGCTGCGAGTGGCAAAATGCATTGCCTCAGAAAGCTAGTACAACATAACTTTCATTTTACTTTATATCTTTTATTTCTAAAACAAAAAGAGAATTAATTTACTGAACTTCTTTTAGTTATTTTTCAACAAAAATACAGCTGTAAAAAATAATGTGATTTTGCTGGGCTTGCTAGTACACTAGTAGTACAACAGTTTTTTGCTGACATTCAGAAAATTAAACTACAGTGTGAATCTTAAATCACGCCTCACCTCTGTATTTTCACTAGAGTCTGTATTTCTGGACAGCATGCACCAGCCTTGTGGATGAACCTGAAATAAAAAGAAACAAAAATTCATACTAAAAGAAAATCGTAGATAAAAACATTTTTCCTCAGTGTGGAATAATCAATGTTCACAGAATGTTCACAGAAGTTTATCCGTGCATTTTTCAAGATTTGTCTACCACTTTACTTGTATTAAACAAATAGTCAAGCTGCAAAATTTTTACTGACTGCTGTCTAATGCTAACTAAATACAGCAAAAAACAAAACAAATATGGCCGACTTGATACAAGCTATAGATGTATTGAATACAACTAGATTTCCTCACCTGTAAAGATGATATGATATTGGCATCATTTCCTGTTGGCCAGTCAGCTATAAACTGTACCCTGTTCCTCTCTTGTTCAAACACGTGATTGTACATGAGACCAATTCTCAACGGTGTCTGGCTTCGCTGCATTAACCGATACATGTTTGGCTTGAACCCCTTTAGGTCTTCACCTGAATATTGATAAAAAATATTGTATAACATATTTATAATTTATACAATATTATTGTTTAATATCATAATGTGATATTATACAGTTCAAAATGTCAATTTTCATTTGACAAAGAAATATTAATATATATATATATCTACATACTGGTACATAGGGTATCACAGTCATAACTCCACACAAATAGTATAAAACACAGTTTGAAACAAATCAAAACAAATTTTCACAAAATATAACATTGAAATGTTAAAATGAACCTGTTTTTATCCTCTGAAAAGACAGGTTAGAATGACCATCTCTTTACTTTATACAAGAGATAACTATAAATCTTACCCAATGTAGAGAGATCAAGGTTATGTACAACTATTATGTAGCCCTCATGTGTGGATATGATGAGTTTAGAGAAATCGGGAGACAATTTTGACCTCATTAGACCACTGGTGTAAAACACTTTGTTTGATGACTCCTCAGTACTGTACCTGAAAACAAAATTTAAATTGCAGCATATGCATGTTTATATACATTATGCATGATTTATATAAACATATTTGCAACATTAATTGAAGTAAATAAATGAACCTGATAACAGATGGATTAAAAAAACTTCAAAATTTCAAATCAAACTGCAGACTAGTGCACAGGTGCAAGTCACATAATCAAATATTTTACATAATCGGCCTATATATGTACATTGTATATTAAGATTACAGTATATAGCCCATATAGAGCATAAAAAAGATTGTTTCAAGCACCTGTTGACTAGTGGTTAAGAGCCTGTCTCTCAACATATGGATCAAGGGTTTCATTTGACACCAGTACAAGTTAATTACAGGAAGGGGATATATGACTGTTTCAAATAAAGCTTGAAGCTTCCATCATTATTAAGCTATAATGGAAGTGTTTTTTTCTTAACTTAACACAATCAATTCAGATTCCTTAAGCAAATTTAAATATGTTTTTATTGCATGACAAAGCTTGTTTTCAATGTACATATGTAATACAACATAAAAACCATAACATATTACTTTATAGAAGATTAGTGTATAACCTTATGATGCCATTTACCCTAAATGTCAAAATCTACCTGTGACATTTTAAACATGGTGAGTTGCAACTACTTGTGACATTTTAAATATGGCAAGTTGCAAAGTGTTTTTGCCACTTTTCAACACTTTTGGCTTTATATTATGATTTGAATAAATTGTCATTTTTACATATGACAACTTTTACTTAAACTAAATATGGAAGCAGGACAAGTCCATTTAAGAAGTTCAACAGGTTAAAGAAGAATTTCATGAATAATGATTATAATCTCACCTGTTAATATTCCATGTATAAATACAGCCATCAAACCCAGATGTCAATAATATACCCTGCTTAGAATCGTATTCTATGTTCTTGACCCAGTTTGAGTGACCACGAAATGTTTGAACATTATGTTTTAGGTAGCGGGTGTCCCATAATGCAACTGTCGTGTCATCTGAACATGTTGCAAATAAACGATCATCTAAAAATCTGCAAATAAAATTAATAAATTTATTGCAATTAAAACCTGCAAATTAAAGTAATTAATTTGTTGCAAATAAACGATCATCTAAAAATCTGCAAATGAAATTAACAAATTATCTGTCCATAAATCTAAACTTTATCTGACATATTTTGCAGTCTGCAACCAAATGTGAGCTAAAATTTACAAAAAATTGAAGTAAAAATTTTGCTCTTAAAGCAAGCTCTTATTTGACTGGTATAGTTAAAACAATTGTGCAGCCTTCAACCTGACACATGTCAAAATTAACCATGAAATGAACTCACCAATTCAAAAATATTGCATTCTTAATAAAATCCTTACAAAAGCTGTGTATATGTATTAAGTTACAACATTTACATCAAAATTTTAAGATATAGTATTGTAATATACATATGATATAATACTGTCAAGAGTCCAATACAAAACTATTATGAGATACAAGATATTAAATAAGTGTAAGTTTAATACTGAATTTATTGAACTAGTTGATATATTATGTGAGCCTCTGGCAAGCATTATATTATTTTATTTAATGACTTCAATAAATTCAGTATTGAACTCTCTTTATTACATATCCAAAATAAAATTGTTTAAAGTGAAAAAGAATAAGTTTTCAATGACGTGCCTAGTGTTACGCTAACATTTAGCGCGTCTTTAGACTATGTTTGTATAATGCAAATGATGTCACATCAAAATATATGCAGGGCCGTGCAATACTGTTTTTACAGAGTCGCAAAATCGGTTTTGGTATGTGATAAAACCCGATAACCTTCAAATAATGATACAACAATGCTGTGCTGCTGCAATCAAGGTCTCATAGAATGACGAAATAACACATAACTTCATATTATAGAAAAAGATTCAACTTTTAAAGTGTAGTTATCATTATGACTATTGCAATTACTTACTTTACGCAGTTCACACAGTCTGTATGGGCATTTAATTTGGTGGCCACCTTCTTACCATTGAATGGATCAAACAATAGTACACTTTTCCTTTCACAGGCAGCTCCAAGTATTGATCTGAAAAAATAATACAAATATTCAGATCAGATCTAGTACTGTTTTGTGCCGTGTTTTAACATATATGATATTATACATCAAAATCCGTTGAATATACGCTATACAGTAAGCAGGTCTACAGTCATCACAGGGCAAGTTCATTACCAAGTTTTTTCCAATAAGCGCACATGCTATATATCACAACATATTCTTAAGCTGTTAAGTGATAAGCACCCATTCTGACATCAAAGCGTTCTCTAACAAAATTTCCTTACTTGATGTTTGCTTGTTATTTTGTAAGGGCAAGTACAGCTACTGCTTCCAACTGGCAAAAAAGAATACAGGACAATGTACATTTCTGACTAAATTTATGCATTTGTTCTTTGCTTCTTAATAAGCCTAAAGGCTTGATGTTAGTACCCCCTCTAGAGCCCCTTTTTCACAAATTTCACAAAAAGCATCCAGTGTTCTAGTTTAAGTTTGGGCGATGAACTTGAATGAAGGTAAATAAGTTTTTCAGACTTAATGTTATAAGCAAACAGTCACATTATATGATTGCATCATAACAGATAAAGTTTTCACAAACAGTTCACTAAGGTGACTGTACATCAAATGATGCTTACAAATAAATGGTTTTATCTCTGAGCTAATAAAATAAACAAAGATATAATTTGACCTGAAAAGGGTGACAAATTTTAATCTTTCTACTCTAGTATTTATGAAAACAAGATCAATGTCCTTAATCAGGGTCATCTACAAATATTTTGTATGGTGACCCTATGACTGTGTGCTTTTGGCAAATCTCTTAAATAATTCATAAACAAAAGGAAATAAAAACACTTTTCTCCACCCAGAAAGTCTTTAATACAAACTTTTAATGCCATTGTCTATTATTCCATAGACCATAATTACTTTACAAAGGCTTTTAATGTCCACAATATAAAAGCAACTTTTAGAGTGTTTATTAATTAAGATAGTACAGATTTATTTTCATTGTGAACAAGTAGTTCAAATTTGTTTTTATTGTTTGTTTGTTGTTGTTGTTTTTTTGTTACACATATTATTTTTTGTTTTTTAAAAGATTTCGCATACTTGGAGTTTGACTAGCCTATTTTATTCATAATTATGTGTTTATTTAAATTGTTTCTCCCGGAAATTAAATGTATGTGTATTAATTACAACTCTGCAACTATAAGAAGTTATAAGAAGTTCTAAAACTTGTAAAATCATTTCCATTTCATGTTTGTATTCATTTAATGAATGGGCCTCAATTACTAATAAATAACTGTTTTTGACAGTGATCCTCATGCCTTTTGCATTCACAGGTTATAGACGTGAGATCAAGCCCTACCCCTAGAAAACCACCCCCAGGACTATATACTTTATAGGATCAGTGATATATTGTTACAATTGTTTGATTTTGTTTTGACATGTACATGTGTATTTTGAATTGGTTGAAGTATATATGGGTAGTATAGAGGGTCCTGGGAGGAGGTACCCTGGGGATAGGGCTTGGTCCCATGTCGATAACCTGTGTTTGCATTAACAATGAAAAAAGTTACATGGAATCACTTGATTTTTGTTCGTCTCAAACAACAAATAGTGAACATTTCTTTATGAAATCCAATGCTTACCAATTTTGTTAAAATGACTTTTCCGATAATGACACAGAGTGTTTGGATATTTTAAAACTTATGTCAAGGCCATGATCAACATAGACCCAAATGATACAAATCACTTGACTGAATTCATTATAGAAGCTTCTTATTTATCTCAGAACATTTATATGATTGATTCAAAGCTCACAAAATGAGTAGCAAAAAGTAAACCTTTAATGATTAATACGACATTTAAAATATTATTTTGACATTATTTTTACATGATTAATGACATTTGGTCATTTATTCATACTTAAAATATCAAGTATGATGCTCAAATTATCCAGTTCATTAAATCCAATTATACAAAGAATAAGTACAATTTAGATATACATGTATATTAACTCTAATTCATTTAGCACTGCTGATTGTAAGTTACATACATACATGTACATCATATACATGCATACATCATCATATTGAAAATCAATTTTATAATTGTTTTCTTGGAATCACTATAAACATCCAAAATGCAATATACTATTTGCAGTTATAATTATAATTATAAAGTTCTTGTCTAGACAAAAAATTGAATATGAAAAATTACTTAGTGCAAGAACTAGTATGCAAAAAAAAGTAGGAAGGGCAATAATTCAAAGACTTATGCAAATAGAATTTTGGTGTTTGGACAATGTTTTGTTTCTTCATGAAATCTATCAATAATTTTATATGAAAGTTCAATCTTCTTCTGTTTTTCTATAGATAATTTTTTCTTCTTACATTTTTTTTTCATGAAGCTTTCCTTGTTTTGAGCAAAATTTCAAGAACAAATTTAAAGAGCGGACTGCTTATTTTCCCCCTTTTCTCTAACCTATGCCATTTTTGTTTTTTAAACAAGATATGTCAGAGGTGAGAGTGATGAAGTAAAGGAAGACAAAACTAAGGAAATAATATCAATTAAGACATAAATATATTTATGTATCAGTATCAAGAAAGCACCTAAATTGCACCATGTAATATGCATGTGACCCATGTAACAATAAAAGTTAAACAGACATTTCTATGCTCTAAAGGAAAAGACAACAATTTGAAATCAGAAGTCAATCTCTTCATGGATGCTTATACCAGGATGAGTAGCACAGCTTTCCATATACTTCATATAGTCAAGCTAAAAATGGTCTAATTTTAAAGAATTTCAAGTCCCTTTATTCAAACTGAAAAACTGAAACAAAAATTATTCATGGAATTGCATATTATTATGTATTGTGAAACACACAAAAAAAACAACAACAACATACATGTACTCATATAGTAAAAAAACAAAAACAAAACCACAAAAAAACTATTTTGGAGACATATGTTTAAGTTATCTACCCTTGAAATGACCTCATATAAGTAAATAATTATCATTCAAGGGCAGATAACTCAAAAGTCAGATCATGAAAAATTGACACCCAACTTTTTTTGCTTAAAATATTTCTGTCATCATATTCTAACAACATACCAAATCTAAAGTAAAAGACATTCTTTTGAACAGTTTTAATTCTGTATATAGGTCTATAGGAAATCTACCATGAATGTCCTTAATTTGTCTTAAAACCCACTGTATTCAATATCTGTACATCATCTTATTCTTAATCATCTTATTCTTAACAATCATACCAGCCTTAATTATTAAACTATTCAGTAAGACAGTATAAGAATAAAGTGACACTCACAGTGGAGCATCATAATGTTTGTTACGAATAATTTTGGGGAGGGTGAAGTGTTTTGAGGGTTGAAGTGTTTTGTGGGATAAAGTGTCTTTAAATTTGAGGAGTGCAGTGTCTAGAGATGAAGTGTAGACAGACGTTTCACTATTGAGACAGTTCACACCAAGACGGTTCACACCAAGACATTTCACTCCCTTTTTATACCAAAATTATTTTGATACCTATGATACACTAAAATAGACCTAAAATATTGAATTTAATTGAACTAAAATCGACCTTAAATTTAATTAAAAATAAATTTAAAAGGGGATTTCACTTTTTTGTCAATGACTTAAAACTCAGTACTTTAAGTTCTATCATTTCAGCTATCTTATCTTCTTTATAGTTGTTTTGAATTAAGGTGTTTTTGTATTTGTTGATCCATATGTGCAATTATCACATTATTTCACTTAAAAAAATATTTTTGATTAAAATAACACTTAAATATAACTAACTATTAGATCTTTTGTAAACATGAACTCAATAGGCAATTTTAATTTAAAGCATAACAATATTGTGACAACAATTAACTTTGAGTAACTTTGTTTTTGTGTGTGTTAATTATAACACGGATTTATATTACAGGGATCGGACACTCCCAGTTAACCCTATATAAATGCTTAAATATCTTGTCGTGCATCCGATAAAGGTACATCGATCGCTAAGCGTAAATGCCCGTTCGCAACGGATACCTACTTTACAAAATACCATATAGCTTTTCCATTTATTATACGATTTTGGAAATTTAAAGTTTATTTTGAAGAAAAATACTTGTTTAATTCAAATATCTAATTTATTTTTTAAAGGTACAGTTTATCTGTCCGCAACGACGATTAAAAAATTAACTTGAAAAAATATCCGCGGTAAATTTTCATTTTTTATATAAAAAGCAGGTATTTGAAATTTATTATTATGGTAACATAATAAATTCAATTTCAAAATAAAAAATAAGCCGATGTAAGTTATTCACAGATGATCAAAGATGCAATATTTAAGATTTATTGGGTTATGTAGTCAAATTTATTAACGCACAATTGTTTGAGGGGAAATGTATTGCGGGCTTTACAATTCGCTCAACACGTGAAGAAAATTTATTCATTTTTTAGTACAAAATATTGCCAAGATTTTTATATTGCCATATTCATGGAAAATTTAAATTTCCTTCATCATTTATATCATTATTATTTTTTTGTAAATCTGTTTTCAAAAGTCGGTGCAGTGAAGTAGATAATCATCGTAACAGTTTTAAAAGTACTCTCGTGTGGCTGTCTCGATTCCGGCCTCGTATATTTTAAATATTCTTTTTGAATGCCTGTAGAAAGATATATTTTTGATATATTTTAAAATAACGCTAGAAAAACAATAAAAATCTTAACAGTTTGAGTCAGTATTATGCGAAATAAAAGTAACTTTTGATTATTTTTTACACAGCGCTTAAATTTCTTTGAAGTTTAATTACTTTTGAAGGCGGTTAATTACCAGGTAACAAGTGATAATTGAAAAACTTTATTTTCAAACTTTCATTACCAGGTTACATGTGATAATTGCAACACTCAATCTTCAAAAACAAATAGAATTTGAATGTATATTATGTATTTGCGCGGTCTTTAACTACAGTCCATGGTATGTGTGATAAGAAAATGATTCTGAAGAGGATATATATAAATACAATGTAAAATGTAAACCTATTTTCTTTATTAACATTTATAAATGAAATAGAAAATATACAACTAAATTTGTATAGCCCTTTCTTTGAAAACTAATGAAAATAAACATATGACAAATAAATCATTTGACGTGAATTGTGAAGGATAAATATGAAAAAAAGCTGTTTCAAAAATATTATAAAACAGCTGTTCCGTATGCAAATAAAAGTTTCTTCCTTGCCAATCTAATGAATTCATCTATATATGAACGCTTGTCTAGAATGATCTGAAAATATATTTAATACACTAATTAGTAGAATATTTACTATATTTATACTAATATACAGGTAATCAAATAAAACAAGAGCACCGCTAGGCGGAGCATTATATGCCCGAAAGTGTTGTTTTTTTTTTTAGTAAAGATGAAGCATTTGTAAGACATGGGACTAAAATAAAGTATTACCTCCTTCAAATAACAATCCTCCTTTGAAGTTTCAATATTGTGGTCCAAATGGAACTTTAAGTTATGCCCCAGAAACTGTTTTCAATTCTAAGGTAAAAGTGACCTTGACCTTTGACCTTGTGACCCCAAAATCATTAGCGGTCTTTTACCCAATATGGACAATCATACTATGAAGTTTAAACACAGTAGGCCAAATGATACTTAAGTTATGTTCCGACAACTGTTTTCAGTTTTTAGGTAATATTGACCTTGTGACCCCAAAATCAATAGGAGTCTTCTACCTAATATGGACAATCATCCTATGAAGTTTAAATATTGTGGGCCAAATTGAACTTAAGTAATGCTAATGAAACTGTTTTCAATTTCTAAGTAATAGTAACCTTTGATCTTGTGACCCCAAAATCAATAATGGTCTTCTACCCAATATGGACAATCATCCTATGAAGTTTGAACACTGTTGGCCAAATGGAACCTAAGTTATGCTCCGGAAACTGTTTTCAGTTTAAGGTCATAGTGACCTTGACCTTTGACCCCAAAATCAATTGGGGTCTTATACCCAATATGGACCATCATCCTATGAAATTTGAACACTGTGGGCCAAATGGAACTTAAGTTATGCTCCGGAAACTGTTTTCAGTTTTAAGGTCATAGTGACCTTGACCTTTGACCTGTGACCCCAAAATCTATAGGGGTCTTCTACCAAATATGGACAATCATCCTATGAAAGTTTGAACACTGTAGGACAAATGGAACTTAAGTTATGCTCCGGAAACTGTTTTCAGTTTTAATGTCATAGTGACCTTGACCTTTGACCCCAAAATCAATAGGGGTCTTCTACCCAATATGGACAATCATCCTATGAAGTTTGAACACTGTGGGCCAAATGGAACTTAAGTTATGCTCCGGAAACTGTTTTCAGTTTTAAGGTCATAGTGACCTTGACCTTTGACCTGTGACCCCAAAATCTATAGGGGTCTTCTACCAAATATGGACAATCATCCTATGAAGTTTGAACACTGTAGGACAAATGGAACTTAAGTTATGCTCCGGAAACTGTTTTCAGTTTTAATGTCATAGTGACCTTGACCTTTGACCCCAAAATCAATAGGGGTCTTCTACCCAATATGGACAATCATCCTATGAAGTTTGAACACTGTGGGCCAAATGGAACTTAAGTTATGCTCCGGAAAACTGTTTTCAGTTTTAAGGTCATAGTGACCTTGACCTTTGACCTTGTGACCCCAAAATCAATAGGGGTCTTTTACCCAATATGGACAATCATCCTATGAAGTTTGAACACTGTAAGCCAAATGGAACTTAAGTTATGCTCCGGAAACTGTTTTCAGTTTTAAGGTCATAGTGACCTTGACCTTTGACCTTATGACCCCAAAATCAATAGGGGTCTTCTACCCAATATGGACAATCATCCTATGAAGTTTGAATATTGTAGGCCAAATGGAACTTAAGTTATGCTCCGGAAACCAAATTGCTAACGTTTTCAGTTTTAAGGTCATAGTGACCTTGACCTTTGACCTTATGACCCCAAAATCAATAGGGGTCTTCTACCCAATATGGACAATCTTCCTATGAAGTTTGAATATTGTGGGCCAAATGGAACTTAAGTTATGCTCCGGAAACCAAATTGCTAACAGACGGACGGACGGACGGACGGACGGACAGACAAAGCTGCAATAACACCACATACTCTTGTGAAAATCTATCATATTTCGCAATCCGCGCGTTCCGCCATCTCTCATTCTGTCCACCTTTATCCTATGTGCGATTCCGCGCATACGCGCGACGCGACTTTAAGCTAAAGGGAAGTGTCCGATCCTTGTAATATAAATCCGTGATTATAACCATGATAACAGTAAACTTAGTATTTTCTTCCAAAACAGAAACAATTTTGGCAATGTGTATTTGAATTAAAGTGAAGCTTACGTTAAAGAAATCATTATCTATTTACCCATCTTTTGAAAAGTCGAAGTTGAAAATTCCACCGTGATCAGTATCACTGATTGTTTTCCTGGGATCCCAGGTGTGATGGGCTTTGATGTTTGAAGATAAACTTAGATTTGATCTCGCTATGTCACCTGCTCGTAATTTGCAGCCGGTCTCTCTGTCTCTCCTGGTAATGAACGTATTCCTCGTGCACGCTGACATGATTTTTAATGCAACGAGACCTCTACGATGTTAATAAAAACATTTTTCTTGTACCTAAAATATTGTTTTGTTTTGACGGACAAGTGCTCGATTACCTCCTTATTAAAGAGTAGAATTTATAAAGGGGGATAATACTATTTTGATACGGCCTACGTCTGAAAGCAGTTATGGCTGGTTTAAACCGGCTACATCGCAAAGATAAAATTATTTGTTTTCCTTGATTAGACAATTAACACAAATTTGAGACAACGTAATTTATCAGTATGCTATTAAAATGTTAATGACTGATTTGAATATTTCGGTCAGTTAAACTTTTAAATAATGCGTACAAGGCCCAAAGCAAGGACTGTATACTGTGCAAGTTTGCTTCTTTAAAAATAAGCATGCGAGAGGTATTTTTGCAGCTGTGGTTCAAGATTTGTTTAATTCGAAAATATTTTGGGATATTTTGCATAAATTGACACAATTGGTTATAAATTACAATTATTTAACAAAATAGAATTAATTATATATATTGAATATAGTGTCATACTTAAAGTTTTATTTTACACTTCATTTTTTAATGTTTTGAAAGATTATATGCCGGAGAAATGGACTTCTTTCTTGGTGCATTAATAAATGAAATATATATTAAAAGTAGTATTAAAATAAAAGTTTTTTGAAAAATTTAATAATGCCTGCTGCACAGTAAATGGGCCAATTTTGTTAGCATTTGTGGACTGTGTGGGTAGGGGACGGATGTTACAAAGATGTACTTAAAGTCTGAATATTTAACAGTTTATAATAAAAATTGTATTATTTCTCTTAATTTTATTAAAACATTATGTATTCTGATAAATTTCACCAAAAAAATCCGGAAAATTTATCTCAGATATAAAAATATTTGCTGTCAAATTTTCAGTATTTTTCCCACAAAAAATTAATGAAATTTTCAAACATGTTAGAAACAAAGAGAGAAAACACAAGGATAGGTACACCAAATCATACTTAAATCAAAAATGCATACACATTTCTTTTAAAACAGTAGAAATTATAGGACTTTCTTATGTATATTTCTTGTTAGATAATCCAGAAAAGAATTGTATCAGGGGGGCGAATGTTTCATTTTTTCGGGGGACAAATGTTACACTAGATGTTAAAAGCTCAAAGTTCTTACTCTTTTGGTTTTATTTTAAAGTCATAAAATTTCTAAGAGTAATATGCTTTGTAAAGTACAATAAATGTAAAATAATGGGACAAATTATGAGAAAAAAAATGTATAAATATGTCCGACAATAACAGAGTTTCTTACTTTTTGTTTTTCACAATGAAAAGTTGCATTCACCATTGACTTAGACTTCTTCTGGTTATCTTACATTTGAATGAACATTTGGAATAAAGTAAGAACATTGCTAATGAAATAAAAGAATCCTATTTGTTCCCAGAAAATGCATTTACACTGTGTTAAAGAAAAAAATGTCATACCAACGCTACCTTTCTTTACATGATTTTTTTACAAAAAAACTATAGTTATAATTATACTGGTAATAAGATTTATCTTTGTAAAAAAATATCATACAGTGTGAAGTAAATTTGAGACATATGCAAGCTTGAATTTCTCATTACTAAGTACACACATTATAAACAATTAAAAATATTCATTAAAAAAAAATTAAGATTTTAAATTGTTGAAATTGATTTATTGATTTGAGGAAATTTTAAGTTTATTTATGTGAAAAGTCGGCAGCATTACCCGAAGATTTAATATAATTCAGTGTCATAAGCTCATTATTTCTAATTTTAAATTGTTGAAATTGATTTATTGATTTGAGGAAATTTTAAGTTTATTTATGTGAAAAGTCGGCAGCATTACCCGAAGATTTAATATAATTCAGTGTCATAAGCTCATTATTTCTAATTTTAATAGTTCTCTGTGTAAATTTCAGTGTAAATGAACTGCTTAACTATGAACTCATTTGTAATTCAATAAAAATTTATAGATTCAAAAAAATTTGCGAAGGGTTCATTTACAGAAAAAATTTCATGGTGATTCCAACTTTTTCATTATAGGAATCCTAACCATATCCTTTAAAATACTTAAGATTTTCTTCCACTTTATTAATAATAATTATAAATGGCTCAAATGGTAAGAAAATTATGCTGGAGTTTGGAAAAAAAACAAAACAAATTTATTCAGGGTGTTGAATTATATAAAAAAAAAATTCATTGACTAAATCTTTAGCCTAAAAATTTTTTAATAAAATAAACCCTTTTCAAGCCTTCTTTAACAGATATGGCAGTCCCTCCCACTGTTTTTTTAGGTATATGTATATCACCCTATATTGGCACCCCTACTGTTTTGTAATATATCACAATTCCCAATCTACAATACACAGCTCCCAATATACACCTCGTTAACTTCCAATAAAGTGCCAGCCCCTTCTGTGTGTATATAGTTAGGATCAGAGCTGCATTACTGGTACTGGTACTGGTACTGCAGTACGTACTGCAGCGATTTTGCAAGTACTGGTACTGATACTGAATTACTCTTACAAAATTTTGCTACTACTGGTACTGGTACTGCATTACTGTCTTAAAAAGTGGTACTGCTACTGCATTACCCAGTACTTTTGGTGTTGATAAAAATTAAAAATTACATCAATTTTTCTCATAAAATAAAGCTGTAAATTACATTAACTATATTTTATTTTTGTGAAAAAGTAAGTTATCAAATCTAAAGATAATTTGCTGCAATATTCCTTCAAATGTTAACATAGTTTTCATCATAAAAAGCACCAAAAACTTTAAGTAAAAATTAAATTAAGATAAACAGACTCAATAACTCTTTACCCTAAAATATCCTTATTAAAATCTTTTATTACTTTGTATTTACTAGTAAAAGAGCAAAACACTAATTAATTTCTTCTATTTTAAAAAAATCCCATTTCAAGTGAAAAAAGTGATATTGTTAGCACCATAAAAAGTTGTTATTTACTTTGGTATGAATTGAACAGAGGTGTGAAGGTGTGAAAGGCAACAAAAGACTGTTGTGTTTTAAATGAAAGATGTTTGCATTGTATTTATATAGTTGATTGGTTACTAAACAATTAGATATGACATGAATATATGTTGTAAATATGTTATGTTAACTTTAAAGCAGCATGCCTCCAGATTCATCCTTATTTTCATGAAAATTTTGAAAATGTATTTAAAGGTAAAATATTGTTAAATGAACAAAGAAAGTACTTGACACATTACAATCGGCACTTAAAATCCACGTAAATTACCAAAAAGAGGTCAAAACATGCATAAATAGCCCCAACTGGGTTAGTAACGCAGTAGAAATATGGTGATAAATACTACAAAATACAGTCATTAATTGCACATAAGATATACAACATGTAAATTATCACTTGAATCTTTAATTTGTTTACTTTTCTCAAAGTTTTAGTAATTTTTTTCCAAGTTTAATTTTCTTTAAATATTTTTAGTCATCTGGAGGCAAGCAGCTTTAAAGTAAATTATGATTTTATTTCTTTGCTGAATAATATTTGCAATTATTTGTTTGACACTGTATTAATTCAAACTTTGATGAATATATAAAAGTAATGGTACTGATACTTAATTACTTCACCAAAAAAAGTACTGGTACTGCAGTACCGAGCTAAAATCTAGTACTGGTACTGGTAATGGTACTGCATAATTTGCCAAGTACTGGTACTGGTACTTAAGTACTACACCCTTAGTACTGATGCAGCTCTGGTTAGGATCCATATTTCACTGATTTATGAGGGGCTGTGAAAGATGATTTGTTTACTTTTTACGGCTAAAGAATTTATGTTTAAACAATTGACTAAATTTATTTACAAAGATTGTTTCAACATCTCTAATTTTTGCACCTCTTAACGTCTTCTATAAATCCTGTTTTGGATTTTGTGTGTGTTTCTTCTAGTTCTTAGATTTGAAGTAGTATTTTATTCTTGTGTGAAAAATTCCTATACATTTGCAAAACTTACTACTTCTCTATCATGCAACATAAGAACAAGATAAGTTTAGTATTTTTGTAAAAAGGAATCATAAGTTCATTTCTGTAACATCCGTCCCCTTCTGTACCCTTTCCTTATACACAAAGAAATTGGCAATCTTTTGTACATTTTCATAGAAAGACTATCAATAAGCATCAGAAACATTGTTTTTTATGAGTATTGTTTTTATGAGTATTGTTTCATAATTGGATATATTATGACAGGGGGACGGACGTTACAGTTTTTTTCATCACATTTTTTTTCACCACTTTAATGCCTACTGCGGTAAAAATGTTTGAAAATTTGTATTGAAAACACTGTACATATGTTTTTAATTTATATTTCATTAGATTAGACAATAAAGTACTATTTTATTTGCAATTGCAGGTACACTTGTTTAATTAACAACTGAATGTTGAAAAAACTGATGCATTACAAATGTCCGATTTTACTAAAATCATTTTAATGATAAAAACAAGGATGATATACGCCAAGTATATCACCGGAAAGGTAATTGAATTTTCTATGTGGATATCAAAATTTAAGTGATAAATTAAAGCAGATAATAGTGGTGTTAATTCTAAAAACACCAAAAAAAAAACAAACCAAAAAAAAACCAGATGCTAACACATTACAGGTAAAATTGGACAATTTTAGGTTATAAAAATGTCTGTATCTACATTTTGGGTTATGGTATCATAAAAAAAAACTTTTGGGCACATAAGCTTTATAGTAAGTTCTTTGTAAAAATACAAAAAAGTAATTGCAAATATAATATATTGTTTGAAAAAGCCTGCATTACATGTATTTTTGAAAAATTGGCACATTTACTGTGCAGCAGGCAATAAGCAAATTTTCGGTTAATGTTTTATTAAGTATATGGAAATGTTTTCTCTACATTTTCCAAAACAATTTGATTGGAATAAAGTATATAAAGCTGCATGACTCCAACCACAATATTTGAAGAAGAAAAAATCCAACTTAAATGAAAGTAAATTAAAGTAAAATTTGTGCCATTTGCGCCAAAAAAATCAATGATCCCGAAGGACCAGGAAAATATAACAACACTGAAGTGAAGTACACGGCAACTTTTTACAGCTGCCACATGGTACTG